ACTTTTTCTTGGTAATCAACTACCTCTTTAAGGTATTTAAGGGCTCTAGGAAAGATGCAACGTCAAATAATGAATTTCCTCGACGTTTTCCTCCAAAAGAGGATGTCACATTTTTCTAATGTTTTTACCAAGCGCTATTCACATCAATACGATGTATTCTCTTAGAGAATATTACCTCTAAGTTCAGTTTAAGTAATTAAATCATTCTTCCGTCTTACGGTTCAAAAAGAATTCTACGATGAAAAATATTTACATTATGATACAATCTGTTAGATATTTCACCTTTGAGTCATTCACTGCAATTTGTCAAACCAAAATACAAAGAGTTTGACGTCGTATAAGAAAATTAGACTTGACAGCAGCAAAATTAGAAGAAAAGGACGTGATCTAACGAGCAAAACAACACACGAATCGCAATTGTCGCTTCATTGCCTAACAACTTGTTCCCGCTGCACAAATACCATGTAACATATTTTTGGACCAAATGAGCACTCCTCGAAAATGCATTTGTTTTTCCTCGTTCTTGACTTCAATGTGTTCCTCTAAGGTTTTGACAGCAGGAAATCCATATAAATTTACATTTTGACGGAGTTGCAGTGATTACGATAAAATATTTAAAGGAACAAATGCACGAAGAATTAATGTTTTTGCTTAGGTCAATATCGCTTACAATCGATTTTGTTGTTAATCTTTGCCAAGAGGGCATCGGATCATTATAACGCTTTATGATATCAACCAAAGTATCTTTACTCACGTTTCATAGTCCTGTTTCGCGCTGTAAGCCACACCCAGATCATACAGAGACTTTGCAGTCTCCTGATGTTGCCCCAACAGTTGCCTTCGGATCGACATTGATCTGCTGCTGTATTTAATGGCGTTGTCGTAGTCACCCAAGGCGTGGTAACTGTTACTAATCCAACTAAGAGTGGTTGCCGTAAACGGGTGGTCACCGATGTTCTCTTCATAAACTGGAAGGACATGTAACAGCCTTGTTTGGATGGCCATCATGTGATTCTGCTGAACCATCTGAGAAGCTGTTGGTCAAACGAAAAAGAAACCAGAATGAGGCAAGGTCGACAGATCGACTGTCTATTTTCAAAATTACACATTCGCAATACCAATTGAGTACTAGAGTGGAGGAGGAAAATGGCCTTGAGCTCATGCTACTCACCAGCCCTTTGCCACCAACATCACTTCTTAATTGTTGCGTCAATTTATCTGCATGCTACTTAAACAATTTCTATCATAATGAAGCTTATGCAAGGTGGATCTTACTGCCTAGCTTTTAAAGCAAAGATCAATGGAGAGATCTTTCTAGAGATAATTCTGTTTATTAATATATCTTACCATGAATGCATTAAGAAATTAAATTGCCACCAACCCGCTATATCGTTGAGACAGGCAGCTAACATGACATGGTCTTTGTTCCTGTTTAGTTTCTCTACTCTTTCCCGTCGCAATTTCAAGGCGACGTCGAGGTATCCATAGCCCTCATCAACGCGACCCTCGCGAACATAACAAAATCCAAACTTGCTCAGGCACTGAGCACGAGTGGTGTCCTTCACGTCCGTAAGTGTAGAATGAATGTCATTTGCTTGAGTCAAAATTTCTCTGGCCTGATACAAGGCTCTTGGACAAATGTGAGGGGCACATGTGCAGCTCAACACTATCTTCATTCCGATGTTCGTCAAGCAAGCGCTGTAGAGGTGCAAGTTGGAGCGACATCGATACGCAAGCTTGCAAAAGAGCGACTGAAATTCTTGTTTGCGCATCACCTTTACAAGAAATACAGCTGCCTCGTTGAAGGCTTCAATGCATTGCTCCCTGAATGTTTGGTCAAGTTCAGGATGATCGTCTCCACACCAAGCCATGGCTTCCCGAATGTTGTCCTTTTCAGATCTGTACTGATCAATTGCCGACTTGCAATCTTTACTCAAGAATTTTTCGCAAAGTGTAACAGCTAAGTCACTGTAATGACGAATGAAAGTTGATTTAGCGTCTATGTGATCGGACCTCAGTGAGAAGAAATCTCGTATGAAAGGATGGAGGGAATACTGACAACTTTTCCTGTCGAAGCGAAGGAGGCTGCTGTGCTCCAAGGAATTCAGGCAAGTTTGCAAATCAGCTGTGACAAATGACCGAAAGACTACTTGGAATTGTTCTTGCGTGAATCTGTGTGGAAATGTAGAGAACATCACAATAATCTTCTGATTTTCTTGACTTAAGCGATCAAAACATATTTGAAGACACTTGTCGATACGATCCTCATTCGGTAAATCGTCAGGGTTTAATTCCCTTACAAGAGAACTTGGTGAAGATGTGGAAAGTCTACGTGCCGCCCTCAGTGGATTTTCTCTCTTCAGAATCGAGATCACTTTGCAGATTATCAGGGGAATACCACCACAAACTCTGACAAGCTCCTTAATCAGAACGTCGTCCAGACCATCCTCACATTTTGCAAACATAAAAGCTGAATCGTTGTCATTTAGAGGTTCTAGGTTTATCAATTCGAGAGGAAAAGACACACACAAATTATAAGTTTCTCGAGATGTAAGGACAAGTTGAATGTTTGGACTTTGTCCAAGGTCTTTAAGAAATGTCAAAAAGTCGTCCTTCGTGAATTTTCCAAACATTTCAGTACAGCAATTTTCGGATTTTAATTCCTGGTGGCATTCATCCTTGCTAACTTTATCCTGAAGATGCAGCAAGTCGTCCATGTTTTCAATAATCAACACAACACTTTTTCTCTTTAGAGAAGATATGTGACTTAATGCTTCAGTTATTGTGTTCTCACCGGGAACGTACCCTAGAGTCTCGATTATTTTGCTTGCTAAATCTTCTACACAATTGAAACCTCGAGGTTTAATGTATGCGACAAACGTTTTCCTTTCCATCATCCTATGGGCGACCTCTATTACCAGCGACGTTTTTCCATATCCAGGCGGTGCTACAATTTCAACAGCCTTGTTTGAAGACAGGGCAGTTACGATACGTTCACATGTTTCATTGCGGCCCACCAAATCAATCCGATCTGGCAAGTTACCATAATGACCAGATTGTTCCTTTACTTCTGCGAGTAAAAAGACAGAAAGACCATTTATCCCTTTCCACTATTAATTGGAAAAAAGCACAGCAGTCCTACCAATAAGCCCCCCTCCCCCATTCACAGATTACAATGACTTATTACAAAAATATCAGGCCCGCGCAGAATACCAGGACACATAAGCTATTCATGAGTACTGAAGGGGGAAAATTTGAATGCGATCTCACCTTGATAGGCCCAGAACAAGAGAAGAAGGGCCTAAACTAGCCCAGTAGCGTTGATAACACTGGCTCGATAGATTTTCAGAAGCAACAAGTTAGAAACCCGTATCCAACAACAGGACAAGATGGTTAAAATCAGTAAACTCGTTGGGATTGCTAAGAACCCGAATAAATTTGGACTTTCAATTGAAATCTTACCCTAAAACTATATATAATTAAATTTAAACACCACTTACCATGAAGTTCTTCGTGGCTTTTGCTCGTTCTCTCTTGAGCTGCTTTTCGAGATAGAGGCGCTGTTATTGCAAAACCGAAAGGTTTCTGGCGGTGGAGTACAGATCTGCAGTTCGCCACACCTTCAAAAGCACCAACTGTAGGATTCAGAATCTCTCCAGCAACAAGAATAGTAGCTTTTACAGAAACTTGGGAGATAGTGATTCTTGGGGAAGCCCCTTCTTGGTTAACGTGCGATGAAATACTAATAACCTCTTCAAGAGTAGAGTCTTTTACCTCCTGGTTGGAACTTAATTCCCGATCTGTAACAGAGAAATTTTTCACCTTTAGAACTGTACATAGCATCAAAAACCTAACCTGACACGATGCAAACAAAAAATTATGCAAAACCAAAGCAATTCAAAATATTTTTAACACTAGATTGGTGACAACGATCTAATGACTTAAATAAATCTAGGTGTTTTTTTTTTTTGCAGCCATAATAACAAATCCAAGGAAAACGTTACTCTTGCGTCCAAAGATTTCATTTCTATTCGATTTTACTTAGAATCCATTATGGCTATTTCCCAAATATCAATCTTCCAAATGTCCGAATGTATTTTTACCTAAATAATGGCGACAAGAAACGTCACTCATTTTGTTACAATTTCTTTCCGTTTTTCTGCTTAATTGCAATGTGTATCATAAAGTGAAATAAATACGGAGGTTCGAAAAATATAAAACAACGCTTGGACATATCTATAAACCATAACATCAAGTCCATTTTTAAAAATCCAGTGGGATACGGAGACAACGTAGGTAGAAGAATGTATCTGAGGACATAGTATTATTGGGTCTTATTGAATTGCAAGTAAAAGTAGAAGCTCACAATTTGATTCAATGCACTCATCCTCATTTGACAATTCAGTGGTAGACGGTGACTGACATATTGATGCCTCATCGTCTGCGAAGTAGCTGCTTTGATCGTCATCATTTTCCATTTCAAGTTCCAAACCTTGGGATTCATCAGTACCTGCTGCAACCAGAACAGAAAAAATAGGCATTTAAAGCCTACTAAGTGACTCTTGACACAAAAAGTGAGAAGTAATTGATGTTCGAAGCAGCTTTTGATGTGACTCTGAGTAAAGTTCAAGTAATCACTTGAAGTATTTAAATGTAACTACAGAAAACATTGGTTAAAATCTCAAGAAGGACAGTACAAGAATTTACTTATTAGCCAAAGTAAAACTCTTGGGAATTTAGTTTGAATTGGATATAAATTGAAACAAATATTTAAAAACCACATCGCAATCAAAAATGAAGAATCTTTTGAAACATGAGGAAATAGGGAAAACAGTCATCGCATCGTGTACTTTCAGCAAGAGGTCCTAAACAATATTGCCTGAAAAAAGAAAAAAAAAAAGCATACAAAACAGCTGATGCGAATAAAAAAGATTGCTGGGCTTACAACAGATATCCTTCTTTGCAGTCGCACGCTTGAGTTCTAGCCAATCAATAGTTACAGTCTGAACATCACAAACTATTTCTTTTGATAACCTGCGACAAGACGAGAAATTAATTCAGTAATGCAGCAACTCCATAGCCCAAATTACCGAGGATAAAATCAATTCAAATAATTCCCCCATAAATAATTAGCGCTCTGAAATACTTTGACCACTAACAGTGGCATTTTGGACGGTTGTTTTATATTTTCACCACTAGACTTACGGTATTCCCATGGACTAAGAGAAGTGCACGGCGAAAATGAAAGGTTTAGGTTCGAATCCTTCCCGGGTCGATGTGTAATACTCTTGGGCAGTACACTGTACGGTGCTTCTGTCCATGTATTGGTACCACCTACGTCAAGGAGAACCTGAGGGGACACTAAGGGGTTACCTGCTGGAGTAGCGAATTGTTTAATTAATCCATTTTACAGAAACCGGGATACGATTTGGCAGCGATATGGTTCAGTCTTGAATGCAGATTTTACCCGCGTGTAACTAATAGAATCAACACCTTTTGTGAACATTTTGAAGGTATTCTGCTAAGTTTTGATGTCCCCTAGCTCTGGCAGTGTCTTCCGGCAAGATGGAGCTGTTCCTGTACGTTTGAAAGACTGCTTCTCCAGCTGAAGTACTGAAGATTATTTCAATACATTCGCGATCATTCGTTGCGGCGGCTGCGAATAGTATACACTGTAGAGCTTTCAGTGACAATATGTCCTTGCTCTCATCTGTCATCATTGGTCTATCCTCAGGCGAGAAGGAAGACAGACTGCTCACTATCAAAATTGAAAAAAAATTAATGCAAACATGACAATTGCTCATCGTCAAACTTCTTAGCCAATCACACGACACGCTGAAAACGCCATTAAAATTATGAAATACTTTCTGTCCTTAAAACGTACTGAAGCTAGAAGCACGTGTTCACAACCCACAATCCTCCACAACACTGCGTAGAAGGGCTGCAACTCCAAACGCCAGCTTCCGAAATTTTCTACTGAGGCTTATCTAACTTGACTTCTAGATGTTAATCAAATAATTGTCGTCAGAGAGTAAGATGCCATACGCTCTATACAACTTAAGAAACAAACAGAGAGTCTGACCTGTTCCTGCTGTACGGGCAGGATTTAATGTTTGGTAGTCCAGTGGTATGTTCCTCTTTGTGTCAGGCATTCTATTAATCAGTTTTTGGAGCTCTTGAGTAACATTCGGATGGTATTCGAATTCCGTTTCATCGAGCGAGTTCCATGTACCATCTAGAGAACTCACGGTAACGGCGACCTTCCCAAGAATTTTAGAGGCTGAAATGAAAAGTCAGTGGGTAGCTTTCAGGTCACGGTTCCTTGACCTCAGGATTGCTGGGAAATCTGAGAAAAACGTCACTGTAAGGACGAAGCAGCACGGGTTTGACGAATTTATTTATTTACTTGATTTAACAAACTTCATTGATTATCGGATATCCATATTAACTATGGAGATTGTTGCGTACACTTCTGTCTCTTTTTTGTTAATCTTTCTCGAAAAAGACGTATGCGAATAATGCTTTTTCCATCTACTTACAACTTTGGCTTTCATCTTGCACAATTTTGAGTTAGCCTGCTGATGTACTGTGACATCAAAACGTAAAACACATTTCAGATATAATCAAAACTATAACAAAATTCTTGAACGTGACTGGCTATCACCAGCCTGAGCTGCGCACTAATAGAACAGTGTACGCGTCTTGCTTGCAATTGGACAGTGTGATAGGCCAGTTAAAGGGACATGTAACACGTCATGCTTGTATAAGTGGACACAACGCGTCATATGCACGCGTTGTTGTCTCGCATCTCGCCGAGTCAACTTTTTTTTTTTAATTTTGTGAAAACGTATAACCGATGTCTAGTTTCTTTCTGAAATTTTTTCACTGTTTTGATTAATTGGTAATAGGACTTCGTGTCGTGCAAGTCTATCTGCAATCACACACACGATATCCATTAAAAAATCGGACTCCCGGTCGTCCGATTTTGTTAATCAGTCATATGATTACCGACCGAATTGGACTCCACTCAGTCCTATTACCATTATAAATCAACATACCTGGACTATGCCCAGTGTAGACACCTTCAGTTACTGGTGTTAAGTCTGCAAATCCAACCCCCTTGAATAGAACTCTCAGAGATGTGAGATTTTCTGGAATACGCCTTACATTAAGGCAAATAACAAACTTTGTACCACCCTATTCAGTAATAAAGATCAACACAATACGAAGAATAAGTAGGATGAACAATTTTAAAAAAAGTGGAATACCGTGATGTGTCGATAAATAATGAAGTATCATTGTCTTTCTTTCCATGTGGAGCGCGAAGTTTCGATTGCCTTCTGCGAGTCTTTTCAGGTGATGACTTCGACTGATTACGAGTGACTCTCTAACCTTTAATGCTACACTGCGATCAGCGGGTTTTCATCAATAAAAGTGGTTATGAGCCAGGAAAAGAGTCCAAAGGTGTATGTAAAGCCATTGTAACTAGCTCATTTCAAATCACCGCAAGGAAATTTAAATCATTATAGCTCACTCTTTCCTTGAAAGCAAGTATTCGCTTTAGTTACCAGGTCTTCTTTGGAATCGTTGCCTTTTTTCGCAACAGCAACAGGCAGATCAAATTCTTATTTTTGCTTAGTTATGAGTTTAAAAATTATGAAATTAAAATAAAAATTAAAATACTACTACTACTACTACTACTACTACTACTAATAATAATAATAATAAAAAAAATACCGTTATGGGGCCTTCATCAGGGCAAAGTAATGTTATCACTGTAACCAGGGGAGAAAAAAAGTTAAAAGAAATAGAAGAATTTTCGTCACCTGTACTGCTGATTAAAAAAAAGGAAACACTAATGTCACATTACTAGTTAACATGAATTTAACTTCGCTTTTAGTTGAGCCAAAATAAATGAAACGCTGAACAGGAGGGATAAGTTTCTGGTTGATTCAACATGGTCACCCACCCTGACACACAATGTTCACATAATCCAGCCACAAGCTACAGGTTAAATGGAAAATGAGTTAACCCTACATTTGTTTTGGGGGTGTACGGACACACGAACACTGATATAGTAAAGTCTATTAAGAAAAAGTTACAGTCTCCAAGATTGGGATCCATCAGTGTTAACCATCAAATAAATTATTACACTTCCTTTGAGCAATCAAGTTGAGATAATTGAGATTTACAAACATCATTTCCCTTTCATTTTATACTTTTTTATGGATAACAATAACTACCTGGTGAGATGATTTCCTGGACATCTTGATAGGCTTCGTTCCACTCTCTATCGGTCATGTTCATCTGTTCAAGAATTAAGATAAAATGAAAATGGTACAATGGCAAGCTTTATAGTATAATCATTCTTCTACAGCAATATGTCTATGACCACATGTTTAAAACTGGACTCTACTTTTGAGTCATATGCGACCATCTTATGGTTGATAAGAAATTTAGCTCAAAAATTTACCGTACCTGATCATCAGTGGCAATCGTATTTAAATCAATTTCTGTGAAATGATCAAATAAAAAAAGTTGTGCTATACAATTAGCTTGTAGATACCTTTAAGCTCTGTATATGGTATTGATAAGAATTTAGACATGTTATCTTGTGCACAGCTGCTTGAACACCTTTATCCCCTTAATGACTTTTTAAATTCCTCATAATCCCTACGAAATTCTATCAACAGCGTGTAAAACCTCATGAGAATTGTATGACAAGCGAGCTGGCACTCGATGAATGACAGGTAATTAACTTAGGTAGCAAGGGTAACTTAAGAAGTTAAGACATGCAAAAGTTTTCTTTTGCCCATAAATTGTTCTAATAATCTGATCTTTCAAGGTAAAACCTTTCTTTACTCAGCAAGTAAATCATTTGATTCAAATTACACACCCAAGGGGCTAAACAGCGACCAAAGTTGGAAGCAGACCATGAAGAGTAGTTACGAAATATGAAAACATTCCATTGCTTGTCTACAAGAATTGTTAAAAAATTAAAGAAAGAAACATTTTTTTCATAATAATCATCATTCATTTCGAAACTTGATTCCCCTTGCTAAAATTTCAGAATGTACGTATGTGTTAATTTTTAAAGGAAAATATTGCTCTGAAATTGTGCAGTTAACAGGAATGACTATGACTTTCCAGTAAACAGTATAGACACAATTACTAGGCGGTGTGAAACACATTGCACATAGTTGCATTTACAAAGAAACAAAAATGTTTTTAGTTTACCTTCCCAGCTTGATCCTTCTGAAGGGCTACAAGTAATTTATACAGATCAACAGTTTCAGCAGATTTGCACCAAAAAAAGGCAGTACTGGTTTAATCAATATTCTATACACTTACTACCAGTATTTGCATTAGGTTGCATGTGATTGGTCCATGAAATGAGAGGCATGTTGTCAAGATTTGGCTTTTAAAACATCTCAAATAGTAATCAAGGGTTAGGATAAACAATAAAGGTTGCACTGTGTGTATGTTTTAGGTGCAGTGGTGAACGAAATTGATCTGTTACTCCCCATAATTATATTCATGTTAAATTTGATAACATGACAGTTTGTTTTACATTTGTGAACAGTTCAAGATGTCCACTTTTAGCACAGATAATTTCTGAGACTTCATGTCATCGATATAAAGGTTTGGTTATAATGCTTCAATCAATTTGAAGCTTCAAAATCCCCACCAATTATCACGTTAGGCATTTTAACTTTTGAAGATTGGTTTGTTCAAATTACCAACCCCCCAGGGAAAACTAGTGTTCAAATGACCTACCCTATTTTTATTGGTAAAAGGAAAAATCATGCAGCAACCATGACCTTCAGTATATTAACCAAGATTTAAAACTCACTCCTGGTGGACCTTTAGTTTTTTGCCATTTGTTCTTAAAAGTGAACTATTTGCGTTAAAACTTCTCCATATTTAAAGCAATATAACACTTAATTCAGTTGGAAAGGTGTGAAACTTCTGGCTCAAATTCCTTTTCCCAGCCAGGCAAATTATCAATAAGTTCAAATCCCCACCCTCCAGGCACTGAAGATGGTCAAAAGCCTGTGGATTGCCCATGGGGGGGTGGGGGTGGGGAAGGGGGAATGTTGAGGCTTCAAGTTGTTCAGCGCATAACAGTTTTACAATTAAGTTTGATTCCCTATTAAGAAGGGAGAAATAAAAAGAAATGTCACTTACTCCATTTCGGAATTTTGCAAATAACGTTTAATTTTTCCTAAGTATCAAACAATAAACACCAATTAAGAATCAGAAGTACTCATCAGATAAAATATTTTCAAAGAACAGCTTTAGTCAAAAGGAAGGGTACTGTCTGACAGATAAAAGTAAACAGCATGATACTACCAATACCCTTGAGAAAAGCTAATGTAACAATGAAAAAGCTCCAGTCTTAGTATAGTCTGCATAGAAGGCACCATTTATATCATATGCTTTAATTGATTGGTGGACATGAATTGATTTTAATTGAAGTCCAGCTCTAAGAGTTTGGAAAGGATTTCAATCAATAAACGACTGTAAATATATGAAAATCATATATGTGAACTGCAGTGGAAGGAACGAATATGGAAGTGATCCTCACAGATATGAACACCACTTAAGTAGTAGTGCAATTTGGTCTGAAAAAAAATCCAGGCCTGTACAGGATTTGAACCTATGACCCATGTCCCATGACCATGACCCATAACATCTGTGACACCAGTGCAGGTGTCACAAAGGTCTTGGGTTCAAATCCTGTACAAGCCTGAATTTTTTTCAAGCCTTATTCTCACTACTACTTAAGTAGTGTTCATAACCGCCAGAATCACTTCCATATTCCAATTTCAGTTCGTAACAATTTGGTACAAGAAGAAACCTAGGGCTTTCTGCAAGCCTGCTTAGCCATTTGAAGCCTATGTTATCATAATAATGGTGATTTGTCTGTGAAATTGGTACTGAACTGATCTGAGATCAATCTTTCCTCCTGCAATTGTCACTCATCCCTTTTCTTAGATGAGCAATGACAAGCATTCAAATTAAATTGATACCACTAGTTCAACAAAAGCCATTAAATACATTTTACCTATTGAATGCTCAGTGTTGTCATCAACACCAGATGCATCCCCAATAGTGGATTCAAATGCAGAGTCTGAGGAGTTATTACTTTCAACATATTCCCTAACCTGTAAGTACAGAGAAAGAACAAAAATAAACTGCTATACATGCAAAAACAAAAATTACACAGGAACTACTGGTACAAAAATGTCTGGCCGAACAAGAGCCTGAATACTGCCTGACATTTGATTTATTTTCAACATTCAAGTTTTATATTCAACATTCAAGTTTTATTTTCATCATTCAATTTTTTCAGTTAAATGTCTTGTTAAAGATTTAAAAGTGGACTTTTGAGAACACAAGCCCTTCTTTGCTTTAAAACTCATACCTTATTGCAATCAATCCAGGTTTTAAACATGCTAAAAAAGATTCAAGGTTGAAGTTTTTTCTTCAAATCTCAACTATTTGCTTGAATAATCGAGTCACTTGCACCAACATTCAAGTCTTTGTTTGAACATTCAAGATTTCCTTGGACATTAAATTCTTTGCTCAAATTTTAAGTTTTGAATTTGAAATTCAAGTTTTGATTTGAACTTAGCTTCACACTTGGCTGACTTGGTTACACCTACCAGAGGTCATACATGTTCACTGCAAGCCTAACCAGCATGCTTTGATGGTGTACATGGCATGATGTGTTTTGATGGGAACAAATGAATTACTTAACATGGATGTACAACTTGAGTAGTACTTGGGCCTGAAGATTCAGTTTGAACATAAACATTGGGAGTCATAACAAATGTGTTTTGAGTAATAGCAGTTTTTTGAGTATGATGCAGCATGCAGCACCATGTAGCATCCCAAGGTATGAATTTTTATCCATCTTCAGGGTTGATTGCAGCATAAAAATCTAATATTATGGCTGCCCACTGCTTCTAACATTTGAATTTTGGCAGGGATTAATGTCATAATTTAAGAATGCTGAGTGTGAGCCATACAGATCCTTTGTTACATTTGATACCATTTGTTTCCAATTGGCAAGGACAGAGTACAACATACTTATTCACCCTTTGAAACTGCCATGAGTGCACAAGCCTAGATTTCTCTACAGTATCAATTAAATACCACACAGACAAGTGACGACAATTAAAAAGGAATCAGGTGATTATCAGATAACATCAGCAAAATGAATTAAACCAAAGTTGCACAGTTTTTGATTAAAAAAGATTTTACATTTTGTAAAAGTACAGGCATGCAGATTGGAGTAAACTTGGATAATATTCCAAAGTCTGATTGAGAGACATCTTTTGTAAAATATGGCACAAGAAAATTTATAGTCATATAAGTTTAGGAACAGAAATTACTGTAATGTGGTGCTTCTGCCACTCCTCTTAAAAAAAAAAAGTTTCATATGCAGTTCTTTCATGAATTTTATACTCATTTAATGATTTGTGAGGCACTATGTTGATAAAGTAGAATCTAAATGAGGCATTTCAAACCACCATCTTCTGTCTTTGACAGAAAAGTAGAGATGGTAAGTTTTGAGCTTGGTGAAGAATTAAGAAAGATGTTTTTTCGTCTTGTCACGAGCATGGGACAAAGAAAAAATTCTGAGTCCTCATGAGGAATTGAACCTCAGACCTGTCTGGAGTAATTAAAGGTTGGATTCCTCATGGGGACTCAGAATTTTTTCTTTGTCCCATGCTTGTGACAAGACGAAAAAACATCTTTCTTAATTCTTCACTGAGCTCAAAACTTACCATCTCTACTTTTCTGTCAAAAACATTACACTATCGACATTGCTGATCCTAGCAGTATGCAGGACGCGTGTCATTAGAACTTAGTAATAGACCCCACTCACCAAAGAGTCTTTGTGGCTCAGTGGTAGAGCATCGGAGCGCAAATCCGAAGGTCTGAGGCTTGATTCCTCATGGGGACTCAGAACTTTTCTTTGTCCCATGCTCATTGACAAGACGAAAAAACATCCTTATTAATCTTCTGTCTAATGTTGATAGCCAAAAGGACTTGTCTGAGCAATTTTTTAGGTCTCAACAAACATTATTCATTCACAATTAAGCCTTTTTTTAATTTTTTCAAAATTGCACTTGAATGCATGTAAATATGTGTACATGAACTGATGAAATAAACAACAACTGAAATAATGATGAAAAGTACCTTATTAACTTCTTGGGATTCCTTAGAGTGATCTTCTCCAGAACTTTGTTTCAAACCTGGATGTTAGATGTTACAGACAAGAAAGAGTCTCTATCAAAGAGACTGTAAAGTCATATTTTCCTGAACTCAACATCTTTGATTATTAAAAGAGACAAATTAAGCATTAAATTTTTGACATAGTTGTACCAACCTGATTAATCAATTCAGTGGAGGAGAAATCAGAAAATCATTTTGTATCTCATGAAAATGAGTATAAATTTAGGCTTGGTTAAAACCAAATCATGCAGAGGTTGGCAGGGGAATTCCCATAAAGAACTTTTGCTCAATTTGCTTGAATAGCTTCTTTGTTTCCTTTGTTTTCCTTCCTCCAACCCATCCTCCCAACCTTAACCATAATCCTAACCCCTCCCCACCACTTTTAGGTAAGTCTTCACTGAACTCACCAATTTGTGGGCTTTGTGTTTGTTGACTGGTACCTGAATTGCAAAGGAGGCCTGCCGTTGGGTTGCCACTGTGATCTCCTTGCTCCTGACAACATTGCTGCCCTCCTTCTTTGCTACCTTTAGGGCAACTGGTACCCTTCAATACTATCAACAATGTGTTTTAGTACAAAATGTAAACATTCATCAAAGAAAACTTTCACAACGTTAATAACCTTGTATAGGGTTAAATTTCTATTGTTATTTAACTTTTATTTTTGGCAGTTCACTATGAATTTAAGTAGTGCAAGAAACAAGCATTGAATCACTTTCCAATCCTGAGGTCACTGCTGCAGAAATGGAGTCTCATTTTGAAGGATAAAAACTTTTAAAGAATTTGTCTAGCAGTGAAAACCCTACATGCTTAATCATTCAAACTGAAAACATTTAATCTGAGAGAAGTACCTTTTTAATGCTTTATATATCTATGTCATTTCTTAATTTTTTCCAGTATTTTCAGCAGAAATCTTGCCTTCCATTTATGCACCTATTCACATATCTTATACAACTGTCATTACAGTAAAGGAACAGTTCACAGATTAATTTCCATGTTGTTTACCTTGCTTCTTCACAATTGCCCCTCTGTTTGGAACTACCTCTGGTACTGATGAAGAGCTGGAATCATGTTTTCTTTTCAAACTTTGAAGCTTTCCTGAATATGCCAGAGGTGAACCTATAAACAAAAATGAGAATTCTTTCAATAAGAAGCTACGGTACATTTTCTGAAACCCAGATTCATCTTCAAGGTTTAAACTTCTCAATCCTTAATAATCATTAATCATGATGACCAAAATCCCTGACAATGACATCAGATTTATCATAATGATTCCACTAGTTGTTCATCCATTTTCCAGTGTTTTGGCCACTTTTTTTTTAATTATATCCTTTGTTTATTATAGTGAGTATTATCTCAGAATAGAATTACAGTTGAACTGCGATTACTCAAACTCATGCTCTTCTTTGGAATCATTTTTTCAGGAAAATTAAGTTGTTGCATTCAAGATCCATGACATTAGTTTTTCCATGAAATAAAGCAGATGTACTGAAACAATGTTGACACTATTCCATTATAGAATTACAGGTAGCAATTATGCACCCATCCTGTAGCAGCTTGAAACAAACTGATTTGCATCAACAATTTTTTGATTGTAAAACATTGTTGGTTAGCTTTTAACATTTTTGGAATACTTTTGCCATTTGTTAACAATGGCACACAATGATTTGAGAATGTCCAGAGCCTCTTGTGTAATACTGATAAATGATATAAATTCAGTTTCATTTCTTGTCTCTGTCAATAATTTTCACATTTTGATCATCTGAACTATTGATTATCAGGACCATTCAACCCAGTCCAGATAACAAAGGTTCAACTGGCATGTGCAGAAGACAAAAACACCACCAAACCATATCAACCATGTTCTCAATTGTGACAAAAAAATCTGTTTGGATATTGAAGAGTGACCTTTTTGTTGGTCTGCTTTCCATCTACATTTTTGCCTTGTTTTACAGTGTAATACAGTCAGTGGCATACTTTATGCATTCAAATGCCCTAATATATGGTAAAATGGTATAATTGTGGAACTAGAAAAAAAAAACAAATGTGGAATAATTTATATATTTGAAGGTTTCAGGTATTTTCTGCACTGAAATTTTGCAAGTGACATGGTTTGTTTCCAAGCCCTTTTAGGGAAAGGAAAAATACAAGCAATGAGCAAAATGTCAGCTTGTGTTATAATTTAAACCATGTATAGGGGATTTATTCTTCTACTACTATTTCATTTTCCACTATTTCAGCATTTGATTTTAAAAATTACTTCTTACAGTTCCATCCAAACTATATTGTGCACTTTTTATAAAATTTATATAGGGTTTAATATTGCTCTAGCATATTTTCAGGGTTTTCTTTAAGGTTTTAAGTAGCCGGAGCTTTTTTTAAAGGTAAACAGTTGTGGGTCTCGAAATCCAATATGGCAGACAAAATGTCACTTCATTTGTACTTTCCTGCCACTGCAGCAAGATTTGTCAAAAAGACAGTCCCCATCAGAATGTTTTTAAACTAACCTTGAGTCAGAAGTCTTTTTATGTTTTCAGAAAAGATAGGCAGTGCAAATTTATATTTTTATTGAGCCCAAGTTTAGACCTGATAAACATCACCTCTATACGGGCTCTTGAAGCAATGAAAGTAGCCATTAAAACCTTGCAGAGAAGCCAGTACACTTCACCAGCTGCCGGCTCTTATCCATGACTTTGATATTTTGCTTGTTCAATTTTTTAATTGCTCTTATCTCCTAAAACAGTGTAATGGTAGAATTTAATAATTATCACAATGATTTTGTAGTCTAATGTACACATGTATATGTATTCAATCTTACCCAATGGTTCAGGTGTGGGTTTCTGTGGTTGTTGTAGAGAACTATCAACTGTTGGAGACTCTGGTCTTTCACTGACTGATTCAGGAGTTCTCTAGTCAGAGTGAAAATATATACCCTTCATTAAATTCTGGGATAAAAGAGATAAATAAATCTTTGCAAAGACCTAATTATATGACTTTTATCTGGCCTCAATAATTTACCTCTCCTTAGAGCTGATAACTTTAGAATTTGAAAACACCACATAAATCTCAGCCTTTTCACAAAATTCCAAGATATCTCCCAAAACAGTGTTGTATAAGAATGTTTTCTAGAATTAATATGAAAAACTTATCCTTCTGATGATTAAAATTTCTGGTTTAGTTATCACATTAAATGGGAAGGGGATTTCTGCATCATTATATAAAAACTAAAAATTTTATTTTTAAAGAAAAATGATTTGGCAGAACCCATCAGGAACTAGCTCCCCAAGCATAGGGAGTACCACTACTCCTTACTGCTTAATGTTATGCCCCTAGCTTGAGAGAAGACTTTTAAGCTAATTCCACTGCACCATTAAAAGAAATCACTATAATTTTATCATGTAAAAAATCTTATTCAATCACTGCAAAAATCCACATATATGCAAAGCTATAGAGCAAAGAATTTTTTTATTCAAACCTCGCAAAGTACATAAAGGGCAGAATTCCCCCTAATATGCCTGTTAATCTTGTTTCCATCCCACACTGTTCGTGGGCTGCAGTGGAACTCCAGTCTTGTTCTATTATCTGCAGCTGTGGCACAGCTTAATCTAAAAATTTGTGGTTACAATTAATACATTCATAAGAAAAAATTTAAGAAAAAAAGTAGGTTAAAGTATGTACAGGGCACCACTCCATCAGTGTAAGCTGATATGGATATTGAACTTCTAGCCCTAATTTGAGCATATTATTAACAAACAGGGACTGTGCAGAAACCCACCCTCTCACCCCTCTTAACTTTTCTGAATCAAAAAAGAAAAATATGGTTCATCAGTGACTCTGTACAGATTTTCCAACCTGATAATGCTAAACAATGCATTGTGATCTGCATATATTGATCTGCATATATTGAACCAAAAAAATGGTGTCTAGCATTTGGATTTAATGCCTCATTTTTTAACTTCAAAGTAGCACTTTCAAGAACAGTTTTCAACATGGATGCTATATCTCAAGAATTATGGAAAAAATAAAAAATTTGGAATACCATTTGAGGGTTTGATATACTTCTGACATCATCACCAAATTTCACAAAAATTGACCAAATACCAGCAGAAATAAACTCTCCAAAGATCAGAACTCAAGCCAAAACACTCTAACAGAAAAAGTGACTTGAAATTTTTCAGGACATCTGTATTTGTTCACAGAAATGTGTTTCCATATCATGCCTGTGAAGGCTGTTAAACAATCACATTGGAACAAGCAATTTGACACTGTTTTGCCTCAGCCAGAATGGCAAAAAGGACTTCTCACTTTTGGACATGTTAACAGCTTGAAAACAGCAATTGAATTCTTAAAACAATCTCTCTATCTTTTGGAAAGAATTAATACAGGTAGACTTGAAAATGAATGAACAATTTTGGAACTGTACAAAATTGTACGATGTGCTTTGAAAATCAATGGTGGTTTTGAAATTGTTAATTAAGTGACCAGAAGAAGTTGACATGAAGTGTGATAAATCTCACACCTTCTATTCTTCTCTCAAATTACCTTTTGCTTTATATCTCCTTAATAAAAAAAGTACCAAAATAGAATTTTCAGATGTTGATACACCTTCTTTTATATATATTATAGATATTAAATTTAAGGAAACTGAAAGCAAATGAATTTTTCCTTCTGTGATACCTTTAATACTAGTGATTTAAATAAAAATGAAAACAGGAACAGCATTAAAATTTGTAAAAAAATGTTTGTCCAATTTAATTTCAAAGCATAAATAGATTTCCCCAAAGTCATATTTAGAAGGATCATAACAATCTTGGAGAATTGCCAACAAATCAATCCCTCCACGATCACTTGAATTCTTCGCTGTATGGGTTTTTAATTTCCTTAACTCCTGTGAGTGACCAAGAAAGAATCTCTCCAGGCAATATCGTGATCAATACAATATCAACCAGACATGTGATAAGAATGAGCAAAAATGTCAGTAAGGGAATTACTTGTTGATCCAATAACAATTTTCTGTTCATACCCCATTCCCGCAGTCGGAACCATTGAGCTGCACAAATATCTGACAGTCAGTCCATTACAATTTACCTTCCATTATTTCCTAATATCGGGAAATGGCGGTGGAGCTTCTCCTTCACATCCTTTTCTGTCATAGTCTTGGTGAATTCAATCTCCTTTTGAAATTGCCCTCGTTCGGGCCTCTTTAATAGAGCCATTTCTATAGTGTTCGGCATGTAGACTTTACTGTCTCTCTTTTGCACATCACAGCTAAACAACACCATAACATTTTTCAAGATTGATTCTCTCTTGCGTGTTGTTGAAGCAGAGTTATCACTCACGGGCCTTTTAAGATCTGGCTCGTCGCTACTTGACACATCTTCTACTATGTGTCGAGAGCGCTCCATCTTATTACTGCAAATCAAAATCGAAGATTTCACGAACCAACACAATTTCAACTTCTTGGTAACAAGCTATGAAGAAATCTTAGACTTGTTGCAATGTAGAAACCAAACCACATTCATACTTCGTAAAAACAAACTGTGAAGAAATCTTGATTTTTTAATGAGGAGAAAACATACTAATCAACTTCCTTGAAACATATTTCTCATTGCAAAAATTTTGGCTAATCACTGCGTTTCACTGAGAAAATCAATCGATAAATACAATCAGGAAAACCTATACAAAAATGCACTCGCCCGAAATAATTCAGCTTCTTACTTCCTTGATATTATGTTGCGTTCCATTGCTACCGTCTAGCTCTCCGTTCGATGACATCAGACATTCCGATTTATCTTTGAGCGTGTTAGTCCACCTCAGAGACCTAAATAATGTTCTTTCCCATGAATGAACCATCCAAATAATTCTTAAATATAATTCCTAACATAAGAATATACACACGCACGAGGAATAAAGAAGTGGCTGAGGTAAGGACAGGAGGATGAATAAGCACCGTATCAGCAACTTGTTATGCGTGCGCAGCAATTAGTCATTTTGATACAACGTTCGTGACCTGTGATACGGCCACAAGGCGATGTTGGCGTCTTATAAGCCTTCTCCCTACTCCAGAGATTAATTTTGATCAATTAATAGTCGGGCATCACAGACAGATCGAGAGCAAAACTTGAACTGCCCTGAGATCAGAGAAAGCGTAAGAAAGTGGTTGTCGAAGTCGCGAAGAAAGGGAAGCACAATCCGTCAAAAACCACTGATACAGCCAAGGTGTTCACTCGCTAGTATAAATAGGGAGGCTTTAGGGGTGGTGGGAACGTGGGGGAGGGTGAGTAAATTATTAAAAGACGTTGATACAAGGAGAATTCGAGCCGAAAATAAATGCACGCATATGCACAACGAGTAATCCAGGGAAAAATACCTCATTGATGTAGCCATAGGTGATGGAAAAAAATAAAAATAAAAATAAGCAAGACAAAACAAAAGAATAACTAAAAAGTCGAGCACAAGGTTTCCCGAAAAAATTAAATACAATACTATTGTACCACTCGAGCAAATTGAACGATGTGAGTAAACGGATTATTGGTTGATGATTGATACAACCTTTATGACCTTTGCACAAGGTGTGTATCAAAATGAAATTTGCATACATGTGTAAATTGATATGCTTAGAAGCACCGCATTCCGCTGAGCAAGTTTTTATCGATTCTTATTTTGTTTCAGAAATGCGTGTACTGGCCGATGAACAAATTTTCGAGCTCGTGAATAGCACCGCAGCAAATACAGTCTTTTATGACGCCAAAAACACTCCTTGGGCTAAGTTTCGATTAATAAACTCCGGCTACACTTTAGAAGAACAGAATTGCCGTGGCGAAATGCCCGGCAGCCAGGCACGATCTTAGATAGACTAAATGTGCGGCATTAAAAAAAATGTTCGGCTCCTGGGCATTCAGCCATAGCATAGATATTATTTGGCATACTTAACAAGTGCAAGGGATGAGAAATCTCGCTAAGATTATCTTGATAGTTCAGTAAATAGTTAAGTTAACTTCACTTAAACACCTAAATTTTTAAATGACTTGAGCTCGAGGTAATTAACAAGCTTATTTGGAAAAACTATAAATCCCACTCACCTCTTTCTACCCTCGCTCTAGCGCTTCTGAAGGAGCTGACGTTCACTTAATATCACAAGTGCATAGCTGCCGGACAAGTAACGAATTTCACCCGGCAGAATCTTGAAAGCGAGTTATCGCAGCCAAATAAGGAATGATTAGTGACGTGGTAGCAGCAATACATTTATGTATATCACATATCTGAATGAAAAATAAACCAAAAAAAACAAAAACGAAAGTTTCACGTTATGCTGACATACTGACATACCTAGAGCGTACGTAACCTCTTTCCGTGCATAAGAGCTACGCTTGCGACAGTCACGAAATTATCGTACGACAAGAGGACTGATACAGTACAAAATCTTACGCAAAAAATAAGTTTCCTTTACTCACTTCTACCCACTGTATTGATGTTTTCTCGCTGATACAACCTTTTTGACCTCTGTACAGGGTATGTATCATAACAAATTTGCAGACATGTCTACCACTTGGGCAAAACATAAGCATGCTATGCATGCAAGAGTAATTTTTTTTTAGGTTGGGTGGATTACTTGAAACATTGTAAGTGATGTCTACATTTTTACAAAAGGAAAGAAGAGCATTAACGCGGAAAAGAACTAAAATTTCGAATTAACCCACACACAGGTATTTTGTGGTTGATTGTGTGTGTTGTGCGAGTAATTATAGCCAAAAATAAACTGTATTGGTGCCACGGATACCTGTTAGTACAAAATGCAGACTGCAGACTGCAGACTGCAGACCGGATACAAAATGTAGACTAGGTACAAAATGTAGACTGCAGACTGCAGAGTGGGTACAAGATGCAGACTGAGAATCTAAAGAGTTTTCGTCTGGTATGTGATAATACGTCATATTACAACTTGGAGAGAGAACGCGTTGCGTGATGAGACCAAATGACGTTTGCAAAAGAAACCACGCTTACTGCCGTTCGGCTAACAGAGAAAAAATTAAAATCATTCGTCTATAGTTAGTTTCCTCAAAAACATAATTCCACGTAATTTTACTACGAAAAACAAACTGAAACCCTTTTGTATCTCCAATAGAACCTAACCAAAGATATATTGCGATCTCGAATAAGTGAAGATACACTGAACAAGAGAAAAGGATATATTTCAAAGAGGGTTCAGAACTCACTATGTCGTGATATCTGCGACCCAGCGTACTTTAAATGTCACGACAGCTAATGTTAAATCAGTTACACAGATTAAAAACACTTCGAATGGAAAGATTCTTAATCTTCTTGAACTGAAACAACCCTACAATTATTTAATGCATATGATTTTCTTCGGATGGCGAGCTCAGCCCACCCAGATAGCACTAGTGCTTTAAAGTTGAGACAGTTCGCTAAAGCATTAACATCACGCTATCGTTATTTCTGAAAAATTTTGAAGCAGCTTGTCTAGGTGACATTCTTTTATTAAATAAAAAAGAACCTGGAGAGTTTGTGGCATTCTCGAAATTATACTCAACTCTAGCGGTGATACTTACCTTCAATGTAAGCTATCAATCTAAATTGTAAATATTTTCATGGTAACTTCGAGTAATCGTGAGCTACAGCCTCCTTCGTTGAAAACTTACGAATGCATTCAGCCAAGATTTGTTGCAGAAGAAGATCGAATAACACCATATTTGTTACGTGTAGGAGGGAATTACTCTCCTGTCAAAAGAACACTTGCATCCAATCGAGTCATTGCAAACTTACAACGGCCGATCTCTTCGGTTAGCGTCGCTCCTATTTTAGTTCAACATAACGAAATAACATTAAGGTTCTATGTGTTACACCATACGTCGGTCTCATTGAATTCACACGAACCTGCGATCAGCTACTAAGAGCTCGCACTGTTAAACTAAAAGACAACAGCGTGGAGAATGGAGAACTTTTGAGATCGATGTGATGAAGAAATCTCCGACGGTAACCTGGATATTTCATAATTGTTTGATTCATAATTAACATAATTATGTTAGTCGTACTGGGAATTTTGGGTAGATTTCTTGTGAGGTCATCATGACGTAAAAATTAAACAAATAGGTGGGAGAGGGGTAGCTTTTTGTATTATATTATATTCACCATGATCTGAAACAGACGATCGAAGAACTTGACCAACACAGAGTCAGGAACAAACCACCCCAGCCCCTCCCCCATAACTTTTTGTCCAGAACCTTTCTTTCAAGGCGGGTTTAGAGGTTCTCTATGAGTGTAGTCAAAGTGCAAAATGTTTATATATCGAGGTACTGGTGCCGAGAAAAGACTTAAGGCCATTCGACAAAATTAGACCCCTCTGATGCACAGTCCGGCTATTTCATCACAAGAAGAAAATAAGTTTTGGGCGATGTCTTCAGTGATTAAGTGTTTTTCGGGACGGATGACTCCTTTGCATTAGTTAACACCTAGGGAACCATCATGACAAAGATGTTAACATAAATCAATCACTATTTCTAATGATAGTAACAATTTCAATAACGACAACGATAACGATGGCTAAAATAATGATAATGATTTAAGAAAGGTCATTAGAACCTCGGCTAGTGTCTGCTGATCACTCGATCCCAGACCCCTTGCGATATTATCGTTAATTTTATCAACAGTTTCAAGGTAAAGAATGAATGAATGAATAAACAAAGAAGAATATAAACTACTTGAACTCATTTCCGATCACAATAATAAATCTTAAAGGTGAAGGATGGGGTAATTTGAATTCTAGTTAATGACCCTTATGATTGACGATTCTCCTCCTCAGAGGGAGGTGGTGTTCTGGCCAAACTCACGTAGCAGTAATTTATGCGTCGATCACTTTGAAGCTTCAACATCCGCCCCGGGCTTCCCCGGGCATTTGAACTTTTAAAGATTGGTTTGTTTACATAATTTTCGCTATAATTGCAGAAAGAAACGATTTTTTTTGGTTTCTGTGCGATATTTATTGAAACAATTTTTCACCTTAATGACCATGAAAGTGGCTTCACCCCACAGAAAAAAGGCTACCACAATTCACCTGCCATTTTGGTGAGTAGCTGTGAATATTCTACAGAGCTCTGCTGCATTCAGGGTAAATTATTACTGACCAACTGAAAAGCTAAATTTAACGTATAAAAATTGATGGACGAAGCAACACATTGACCGTTTTGCTTAAGAATACTGGTCTCGTATCAGAAAACTCGTTCATCAAGGACGTCAAGGACAACTGAGGCTGGAGATTCGACATGACATGGACAGTTCATTTGAACTTTTCAATACTTAAAGACCTTAAAACTCCGTAAGAACTCGTTAACAGTATTACCGATATTTTAAGAGGTCTATTGATATCAATAACAAGTAAGCTAAAAGATTAATGTTCCGTTTTGTCAGTGGTTGGTAATCTTAGATCTTAAGCCATTCTAATAAAAGAAACTACCACAATCTTTATTGATGGATCAATGATTAGTTTGGTCTCAATAACCTATTAATCCGATTAATGTAAGTTGCGGAATATTTTCTTAAGGCCTTCTTTTGAATTATTCATTTAACAGATAATTACAAAAGGAATTAAATAAATTCTATTAGAAAAATTTCCTCAAATATTTATTTCTTACCTATACAGTGTTTATAAAGTGGGCGATTGAAAAACTAATCCTTGCAATTTACGTTTCTCTCACTAGTTCACGTAATTTACGGGTCTCACTAGTTCACGTTTCTCTTTTCTTTTTCTATCACATTTTGTACAGGAACACTCGTAGGGTTTCATTTGTGTCGCGAATATCGACTTCTACGGAGATTGAAGTTTCAATGGAGTGCACGTCTGACAAAGGGAGAAAAAGAAAGATAAACAGACCTTTTTAGCCTAGCGCTTTACTGACCTTAGGGACTAGCAAACCAGACCAATTAACGAAAACAGAGTAAATATCAAACCATTGATTGTCTGTGTTCAATTGATTGATCTATTGTCAGACCTATCAAAGGTTTAATACAAAAGGTGTTTTCTACAATGCTGAATCCCGTGGCTTTGCAGAGAGAATATCAATCCATTCGCTCTCTCGTTCTTGGGTCCTCATTTTATCTAAAGGAGCCTCCCAAGAATCCAGCTTTCTCGCGCACTTCCCCGCGCGATTCATTTCTTCTTCTGCCTCTTCGTCTCTTCCAAGAGCACGAAGAGCAATCGACATAGCTTGATGGGTGTGAATCAGCTCGTCCTGTGTGTCCAATACGTTTTCTTGGTAATCAACTGCCTCTTTAAGGTATTTGAGGGCTCTAGGAAAGATGCAACGTCCAATAATGAATTTCCTCGACGTTTTCCTCCAAAAGAGGATGTCACATTTTTCTAATGTTTTTACCGAGCGCTATTCGCATCAACACGATGTATTCTCTTAAAGATTATTACCTCTAAGTCCAGTTTAAGAAATTAAATCATTCCTCTGTCTTACGGTCCAAAAAGAATGCTACGATGAAAATATTTACATTGTAAAACATTCTGTTAGATGTTTCACCTTTGAGTCATTCACGGCAATTTGTCAAACCAAAAAACAAAGAGTTTGAGGTCGTATAAGAAAATCTGACTTGACAGAAGCAAAATTAGAAGAAAAGGACGTGATCTAACGAGCAAAACAACACACGCTTCATTGCCTAACAACTTGTTGACGCTGCACGAATACAATGTAACATATTTTTGGACTTAATGAGCACTTCTCGAAATTTTTTTTTCCTCGTTCTGGACTTCAATGTGTTCCTCTTACCTTTTGAAAGCAGGAAATCCATGTAAATTGACATTTTCACGGAGTTGCAGTGATTACGATAAAATGTTTAAAGGAACAAATGCACGAAGAATGAATGTTTTTGCAAAGGTCAATATTGCTTACAATCGATTTTGTTGTTAATCTCTGTTAGGAGGGCATCGGATCTACTTAATGCTTTATGATAAATTGCAAAATATCTTTACTCACGTTTCATAGTCCTGTTTCGCGCTGTAAGCCACACCCAGATCATAAAGAGACTTCGCAGTCTCCTGATGTTGCCCCAATAGTTTCCTTCGGATCGATATTGATCTGCTATTGTATTTAATGGCGTTGTCGTAGTCACCCAAGGCGTAGTAACTGTTACCAATCCAACTAAGAGTGGTTGCCGTAAACGGGTGTTCACCGAGGTTCTCTTCATAAACAGGGAG